CGCATAGTGGATAATCTATGTTTCCATTCATCTGCAACAGTTCATATATTTGTATGGGAATTTTCGAAATACCAACCAGATTTTCCAAAAATCTCATCAAAAACTAATTTTTGCAAAGGATTTTGAAAAGCTCTTTCCGATAGAACTATGTGTTCTCGTCTTAGCTGTCGCATGGTGAAAACCGAATGTCTCTCTCTTGTCTGTTCCCATCAAAGTCATTCAAAAAACATTCACCAGCATTCTTTTTTGAAACGAATGGTCGTTTACTAATAAGTTCAATTTATCTCGTTTTTCTTTTGTTTAGGAAGACCAAATAAACCAGATGATAGTTGTTATTCATTCTGGATAGGTGCCACTCTCAAAGTACGTAATATTCATGGATATTTTTTTTACGGACAGAAAGAAACAAGTTCATTGGCTTCTTGCTATTTCATTTGTTTTTTTATCAACTATTTAGATGTTAAATGCTTTCGATTTCATCGATGTTGAAAAAAATCTAGATTTTCTTCATTCAACAGAAAATTCAATAACCGGTGGCTTTAGCAAATGGCCTAATTCTTCAGCTGATCCGTTACATTCATATTTAAGTTTAGCTGCACTGTCATTAATGTCAAATCCAAGTCTGAACGAATTACATCCGGCATTAATTGTATCACAAAATCGTATTAAATATTTAAAAAATGAACTACATAGCAAATGGTGAACATAGTGGAAATTTCTTTTTATTCTTTTTTTTTCTTTTTCGTATATGTTGAATGAACAAATTAAAAATATTCCTGTGATAGGTGATGTTAATTTTTTGTTACTGTACTTGTATGACAAATTTTCCGACATTTTTTTTTTATAGAAAATCAAACACTTATTTCTTTATTAATGCAGATCTGAAGAAATGGGATTTTAAGAGTTTTTGTGTCGTTAATTTGAGAAAAATAGAAATTTATTGAATGTTAGGAGAGATCGATTAACCAGATCATAAACAGAGGCGTTACTGCACATCTATCTGGCGGCATCTACATTATAGTGCACTTGAGGTATGATGTCTCAAATAAATAAATGAGATGGTACATTGAAAATTAATTTTCTACCATGCTCAGTTGAGCTAGAACAAGAGAGTAGAAGTTAACGTTTGAAAAATTTGAAATTTGAACGTTGAAAAATTGAATTTTAATAGATAGTAAAAATGATAGGCGGAACTTCATATCTTAGTCGTTTAGGTGGAGATAGACACAGCTGCGTTATTCCTCTAGTCCAAAAAAGTATTGTTATGGTACGAGATAAAAGAGACGGTTAAAAACTTGCACAGCATTTATGGGCGCCACTTGACTCAAGAAGTTGATGTGTCATATCTAGAACGTGTAAGAAAAAGTTTTCGTTATTTCAATTAAGATCAGCGATTTTCTTACTCCTGAATGAGCAAGGATGTATTTTTATGACATCTAGGATATGTGTGTGTTTAACAAATATTTTGTCCAATGAATGAAAGATCTGTTCACTCGTTCCACGCGTGATGGATTGTTTCCTATTATAATGTAATATTGTGTTATGATTATTTCCGATTAACGATTTATTTGGATGTCAACTTGTCCTATCTTTTTTCCTTTAGTAAGAACGATTAAGAACTCGATTCTCAAGCCGATTGAGTGAAACGACTGAAAGTCGTGTTATTGTTTTTCATTTTTTCGCCTTTTTCTTCGATGTCTTCACTCAACGGAAGTTAGTTTTCTGATATTTGCTTTAGCTATCCTATACTATATTAAGTGCCATAAAATGAGTATATTTTCAGAAAACTCTATGGTTCCTCCTGTCATATAATTAACCGTCAGGTGATGTCTTACGTAATGAATATATACTATAGTGCTTGATATGACAAAGACTATAGCAGAATGTATGATAGGATAATGAATTAGCTGATACAATAATGTGAATAATATGCTGTAGAAGGCAAATATACGTGAATAAAATTCGAAACATATTTTTGTTGCTAAAGGAGACAACACCACGTTCTTTTACTGAGATATTTCCGATTTAAATTAATTGTCTACGTAGCTCATGCTAGAAGGTAACCGCTGCCAGAAATATTTCACTCAGTCGGCTTCCAATCTTCTCAGTGTGCAGTCGGCAACTAGTTTTCAGTTCTATTCGTAGATCTCTTGCTAAGGGCATGTGTCCTATTGAACTTTTGGAACAAAATATACGTGTACACTACGTTTTAACAAATTCAGGAAAAAATACGTGTTAGTAAGGTATGAGTAGCTTTGATAATATCAATTTTCCAGTGTTTTTAATAAAAACTTTCATAAGCAAAGAAAGTTTACACTGTTCAACATTGAACTTTCCACGTTTCTCCTATTTAAAATAAAGTGAAAATCAAGGTTCAAACCTATGTTAAGTATGTCGCTTAGCTTACTAACTATTAAAAAATTTCTACTTTTACTCTAAAACCAAGTACAGACACAATGCCCGAGAAAAACTGACAAAAATAACATGTAAGAGGGTGTCGTAATCGGATGACTGATGATCGTTAAAAAGATGACAATAAAAGTTTCTGTCCGGCACTCCCGTCATCAATTGAAATCATCTTTTTAACGGTCAGTGATTACCCTAGTGAACGTACCTTCGCTCAAATACTTGATTACTTAGTAAGTAATTGGGAAAATGGACAAGTAATTTCAAAACTACGCGCTAGAAAAACTCTTGCGTTTTTACTTGTCAAGTGACGCAAGTGTTTCTAAGCAAAAATAGACAAGTACAGACTTCATTTCGGAAACAAAGTACTTATCTCAAGTACATTCACTAAGGCATCGATTATCGAACTACTGACTATCCTTTCAAGGAACGTTGCCATCTATCCGTTTTTTTTTTAAATACAAAAACTAAAACTTTTGTGTAGTACTAATAAAGTTCTTATATAAAGTAAATCAACATATACAACTGCATATTGATTTCAGCATCAAAGTCAATAACACTAAAAGATTAACTCATTATTGTAAACATATTTTACCAAAATGTCAAATTTGTTTATTGTAATTATTAAACTTAATGAAGAATAATGTTTTAAAATTGTTTAATGCATTATGATGTATAAAAAATTCAAACAAAGGTACAAATCATATCCTATCTCTTCTAACACTTCAATAAAATTTCTATAGCTACTTGTTTTGTTTGTTTGTTTAGATAATTGTCTCCGTAAATTATTGAAATATTTACCAAATGTTCGTTCATAATTAATATCAATATATGAATGTTTGGATAGATGAGTAGAACGTGAACAATAAAAAAATTAATTTCATAACAGAATAAAAATAATCCGATGCATCCATGTTGAACTCAATTGAAACCATTGTATATCATCTATAATGTTTACAAAATCATTCAATGTTTTTATCAGTATTTCATATTAAGTATTACGCATACAATCAATCAAAATACAAATCAGTTAATGAATCAACTTGGCTGAAATTAAATACACCTTTATTCTAGTAATTTACATCTAAATGACTTAACCCTTTGACACCCAGTGGGAAGCATACTTCCCACCTCGAGAATTTTCAAATCTTCGAGTTTTTGCGAATCTTAGAGAAATATTTTCAATAAATGTTAGAAGCTAGCAGAGGTCCGTACAAGACTGCACGGATAATAGGGTATATGGAGGACATTGAAAAATGCACCATGCCAAGTTTCTTTAGTCTAAAAAAGTTTTAACCGCAGTTTTGAACCGCTGGGTCATTCTATCAAAAACGTTTTTTAAAGAACCCAAACAACTTTAAAAAAATCTACTATATGCCGTCTTGCAGAGAAATTTTTGTTCTACAAAACTGCTGATTTCAGAAAATTTCACATTTC